AAAAAACCTTGAATAATATTAATTTGAATAACTGAATTTATACATCACAACTTTACACTTTTAAAAAGTGTGAATATAATACAAGCCTATAACTATAGTGTCTTAAATAATAAAGTTCTTAAAAATAAAGGTGAAGAAATATAATAAGTTCCGTGCGCTAATCACATAGAATTGAATCGAGAGCGGAAATGTTATTTATTTTGGACGCCTGCTCTCCGAAATAAGTCGTTGCGAATTCGATTTGATGTGTTTTCCAAATTTTAAATCTATCATTACAATATAAAAATAAAACTGTCACTCATGCCCGTAGAATGAGTGACAGTTTTATTTACAAATGATTTTTGCTAAAGAGCATTTGCAAAAGGAAATCACAAAACGCATATAATGAGATGAGCTGCTTTCAACAATGGGTGACTTACTGAAATCGGGATACTTCACAGAGTTTGAAAACCGAGGCGAGAGTGAATAGGCATTATTAAGGTATGCATGCTACATCGTCGACCTCCTCGTTATATCATTTATTTCTTTATTAAAAAAAAGAAAAAGTCGACCTGCGTATTCATATAATTGTGTCCAAAGATTTGCTCGATCGAATGTGGACACTCGATCTATGAAACATGATATCGATCGTCTACTTCTTATATTCTACTCGATTTTGTCTGATCACACATGTTGATCGATTTTACGATTATACTATACGATTTCTATCATCTGTTGCTTACAAATTTATTAGATTTTTTTCGAAATTTCGTCACGTGACGATTGTCAAAAAATCGAGCAAATCTGTTCACAACTTAACGGTGCCGAGACATAAAAGGCTGCGCCTATGAGCCGTGGAGTGTTCAATGTTCGATATTTAACATTACAGATCGAGTTTCGAATTTTGAAATCCGAAAACGAACTAAGGTTCAAGATATAAAAGTCGAACCATCGAGCTGAGCGGACGCATTGTGATTGTGATAAAGCGACAATCGAATGGGGTCACGAAATATTTACAGTGAAACGGAAGCGAGTTGAGTAGACGATATCGTTAAAGTCCCGAACCGTAGATGGGTGACAGCGCAAGATCATGATGGTTGCCATAAATTACGGGACGCCTACAACCAACAGGCTGTGGATGGTACCTAATGATGATTAAGAATTGGATGAACTTTGTTACACTCTAATGATGTAGGAAGCAATATGGCCTACATGTTGTAATAGCATTCCGCAATCTTTGGTGTAATAAGGTTACCTACATGTGTAAAATGACAGTTTTTCGGGAGAAAGGTTTATGGATTTTTCAAACGAAATTAGTCTACAACTTTTTTATGCTTAAATAGGAGTGTTATAAAATTTGAAATACATATAATTTGTTTTATGTAGTTAGTAATTTTTATGACTTCCATGTGATAAAAGTACTAATGATGTATGATCACATGTGGCTTTGTTATACAATGGGTACGATATTACGTAGATTCTTTTACGTAATTATTTTTTAGCAGCCTTGCGATCGCCTCCATCGTTTCGTAGTTTGGTATTCATTCAAATAACGTGATAGATATGTAGATATAATAACTTTTAAACCTATAGAAAATTATCTATTATCTTTGATGAACAAGCATTGTATTTTTTTATGAGAAATAGGCATAACTTTGTGTCATTTGAATCAATAATTGTAACTTTAAAAAAAACAATTTTCTTGAAATTTAAATGGGGCCGATACTGAGGTTATCGCATAACACACATACAAAAAAAACATATAGTCGAATGAAGAACCTCCTCCTTTTTTTCAAGTTGGTTAAAAAGTTATAAGGAAATATTTATATTTAAATATAAATAGAGTAAGAATGACACGAACAACAGCTATGAAAAATAACCGAAAATACGTTGCCCTGAAAAGTTGGCCCATTTGTAGTTACGAGACTGAGGAAAGTGAGAGCAATCCGTTAGATAAGGTTCAATTAATACTGGACTAATTAGACAATGTATAATGATATCGTCATCATTAGCTTGTGACCATCAATGCTTGTAAATACCTACTTAACTTATTAAAAACTATCATAATGTGTACGTTTATGCTTATTCTATAATACGTCTATTTTCGACTTTAAACTAATAATAAAGTATCTTTTTCGTTAGCGGACCAGAGCAACTCTATTTTCTACTGTGTATTTTTCTGAACTTGTTATTATATGATTACAATTTTCGTATATAATAAGAGGTGTCTACTAAGACACATTTTTGTTTACAAACAGCAATAAAGTTTATTAGGTCTAATTTGTTCCTATGGTTACAAGTAAACATATCTAGAAAATAAATCTAAGTTATCTAGAACGCTAGCAGTATTGATTTATTGGAATTAAATTAATTATTTATTTATAATAATTGATACTGACTAAAATATTTATTCACAGCACCATGACATTCAAAACGCACTCTTTGGTTTTTACTTTGTTTTATTCAGCTGAATTAAATTACAATTTACAAAATAAACACCATACAACAAGTTATATGGAGCATTCGGAGTGAGAACCCCCACAAACTTTCTATCTGCCCTTGTTAACTCGAATTTGACTGCTAGCGTGCACATTGGACCGATCAAATAGTCGGCCGGTTATTCTCGATATGTTTTGATAGTAAGCTTCTTCATGAGTAAGAGAGAGGAAGAATTGTTATTACCTATTGTTTTTGTGGAATGGAGTAAAAAGGATCAATGTGAGAAATCGAGAGTGTTGCGTGCCTCGGCAAACTAAACAATTGGCAAACGTGCTCGCGTGCTTTATTGATTTAGCAGTCGGCCGGAAAGACAGTTCGGCAAATTAATTTGAAGGCAATCGAGTAACCGATCAAATTTTTTATTGATCGATACCGAAACATTATAATGTACGCACTTTCATACATCTTCATGCTGATTAAGGACCCGACAAATTTATCGGCCGATAAAAAGTCCGCTGTCTGTCGGGATAGTTAATTTCAAAATCGTTACATATCTACGAATATTTAATATCTCCCCGTAGCATGGCTACGCACGATGTCGCGACACGCGCGCGATAAAATTGAAATAAGCGAGCGCTATTGGCTAAATTAGATCTGATTGAGACAGCCAATAGTGCGCACTTATCCCAATTTTATCGCGCGTCATGCTACGGGGGTACCCCGCTCGTGTGGCGTTAAACATGAGCGAGACCTCAGAAATATTTTTAATGAGAATAAACCTTTACAATTGAAATATCCTATACGATAGTCAATGCATGCTAACAGCTGTTAAGTAGTGAGTGAAAAGGGTGTGCAGTTTTACTTCAAATACATAATTTGTTGAATAAAATTAAGCGTAACATTTAAGGTTTAACAATGGCTTATTCGCATTAATAGATGAGACTAGTCAACACTAACGTATATTATATAATATGTATATTATAAAAATTCTTCAAGCAATTTTGTCACTTTCAAGTAAGAGCTAAGACTGACTTAAGGTTCATCGTCACCATGCTTCTACATCGCACTCATACCAACATATTTTATGTAAATGTGGCAAAAGGCAGAATCTGGGGAAAACATAGCAGAGGAATTACAATACCGCCTTTATATTACCCTAGAAGATGCCTTAATTGCAATATGAAAGGTATAATTGTTAAAAGGAGATTTCAACAATAACGTTAAACGATTAGCAATGGACGGCAGCAAGCTCGGCTGTTCTCTACGCTTATGTTTAAAGCATTTACATTTTTAATTCATTAGATATTGTGTCAAAATATTTTGACTTTTTCTGAATTCCATGACGATACCTGCTAATGTCACAGAGTGATAGACTTGGTTAAACTTGAGTCGGATATCTGAGGCCGACGAATATTCGAATGGCATTTGTGCGAAAGAATTAATTTTCGAATTACCACAACTCGAAAGAGCGTAGCATTGAAATTACCGAGCGATGGAATTGCACGAATTAACTCCACCTGTCTCTTTCCATCATTGGAAGACTAGGCGTACGCTGGGCTTCCACGCCTATGCTGTGGATATTCCAAAGATTCGCACAAAACGTTACGCTCTCACATTTAAAGGCGAGCAGTTATAGAGTGGAATTCGCTGCCTGCAACCTATTCCTTGAATGCTATAACTTGGGTTGTTTGAAGGTGAGAATCAATAGGTATTATTTAGGTATGATTGCTCCATAGTCGATTTCATTCATTCATTGTTCTTTTCACCAGGTGAGATGGAGATCAAAGGCGCACTTATTCTTTTATATAGAAACAAGTTGAAGAGCCCCGTGTTAATATATTTTGAGAAATACAAATAGAACAAAATTTCGTACACAGGCTATATTCAGAGTTGTCAAAACATTTTGTAAACATTTTTCGAATATTTAACTAGTATATAACGGTGTCTTGTGCTTCAAATAAAAATCCACAAATTTTATAGGTTATGTTAGGTTTTTATTTATTTTTTATTTATTTATTACCATTTAAAAACAAAAGCCATATCTTATAAAAGCCAGCCATTTTGTAATGGTATCTTTTAGTTAAATTGACGGTTGATGTAAACGGAAATCTAAGTAAATTGCATAAAACTTGTATGTGTTATGTTAATTGACTATCAAAAACCTTTAAGTAGAGTAATTAGTCTTTGTAACATTACCGATTTATATTGAAAGATCTCACGTAATCTGAATATTAGCTATACGCGAGATAACATTTTATTAATGGCAATTCTTTATTAAGTAAATATTTTTCTTTTTCTGAATTAACGAATCTTATTAAGATGTCGTTTATTCGAGCTTATAATACTGTTCGTTCAAAACATATTTCATCGACGATTCAATTACACAACAACAACACAACAAGTACAATTGAAAATTAAATTTTTTTCCGGATCTAAACTGCGGATTTTTTTTTTCGAGTTCTTTACAGGTCCCGTGACCATTGGTTTGTTTGAAAAAACAAATATACACCTTTTAGATTTAGATTTAGATTTAGGAAAATCTGGAAAAATCATTTCCAACGTGTAGCAATTGCGAAAATCAAAGTACTCGACAATATGAAGTATTCTCGTTTGAACCAGATAGCACTTTTTAAGGGAATATTCAGAAAAATCGGTAATACTAAAAAATCTATTAAAAATTTATAACAGCATAGCAGATAACGGATTGTATCTCATTATTTTTGAGAGCAATATCCATAGGATAGACGTTGTAGTAACTAAGGCTACACCGCCCCAGCCAAGTTCCAATGACCACGAAGTTGAGAACTCTCGCGCGGAGAGGAGGGCTAGTGCAGGGGCGCGGGGACCGACCACTCCGTCTGCAGTGTCGTCCACGTGAGAACTGCCTCGTGTGGAAACGCGTTGAATTCTTTTGAAGTAGATTATCATTAGCGTGAACATTGCGAAGAGCCCTGTAAAGAGAATATCAATTACTTGTCAGTAGATATTATCATAATTTCAATATCTATATAGTACTACTAAACCGTCTGCGGAATCTTTTCTTAGATAGTCTAACAAGAAGGGAATGGTCATAAAGAAACCTGATTGTTGAAAAAAGTTCTGCAAACTATTTAGTGACTTCTGAATTATGGCTAACATCACTTGTTTAGCTATTTTTTTTATACATGACAGATGAATCCATTCCATCTGACGTAAAATGGAAAGTGGAATCCAAATGTGAAGGAACCTAGTGTTGTGTTGATACAATCACTGTCCTAATCACCTGCACCCTGCACCCTGCACAAGATGCCATTAACGCTTCGTTTGAAGTAACCCATTTAGTGAAGGCCCGTGTTCAATAATACATGTAGGGTACCAGACTATCATACCAATTATCTGGTCTCAAACTCGGGAACTCCTTATACTATGAGTACCAGAGCGATGGAATTAATTCCGGATCACTATCCAGGACACCTGGACCAGAACCAATTCAGAAAAGTTCATAAAGATAATTTCCCAAAATGATCTCCGGTAGGACCAGGGCCAGCGAGGTCGAGAGAGTACGAGATAACTTGAACTTACCAGCCAACAAATACATCACTCCAGTGATAAGCACGGCGCTTATCTGGTGCTTGCAAACGCCGAAAGTGCCGACAAGTGCCGCGCTACCCAGCACGATGAGGCACACTAGCGCGCATGATATTGACAGGTTCTGCATGCCTGTAAATGTAAGTTTGGTCGTTGTAATAATATAATAATTCGGTTATTTCCCCAAAATATGGGTCTAGCAAATAGTGGTGGGTATTTCTTTTCATTGGGGGCCAGAAAAACATAAAAACAAAAAGAGGGCCAGAAATAACAATAAATAAATTTTATTTTGAAAATTGTGAATTATTTTTTTCTTTATTTATTGGTGTTTATTGTTAATAGAATATGCCACCTCCATAGGTACATAGCAACAATTAAACACACTACATACAAATTAATACATAAATAATAATAATTAACTACATTTTATACATTTTTGTACCATTCGGTACACTGCTCTGACAAGTTTGGATGTAGGGTTGGCCAGTATGCTGTTACACATACCCACTTATTGACTACTGGCATTTGATGGCCGCTGAAGCCTCTCAGCCTCGCTCTGGACACACTGACCACGAAGGCGTGGTATACGTTCTCCTTATTTTAATTATTATTATTGTGTTATTTTGTGCGTATGTAAACTTTATATATATATTGCATTGTGTGTGCAAAATATATTAGCGAGTCGGATTTGGCCCGCGAGCCGTAGGTACTTTGTCTAGCATGGGTTTAGTTACAAAAGTTAATTGACAAATTTTTTTCACAATAAGAAATAAGACAATAAGAATGTCACAACTTACCTAAATTAATGATAAATAGTGTGCCAAGATCTTTAATGTTTGTTATTATCTAGCGAATTGAAAAAGGAGGTTCTCCGATTCCTTTGTCTTTATGGATGTGCTTAAAAACTTATTCAATTAATTTTTATAATCTAAAAGTGTTACTCAAAGTTAAGAGATGACAATTTACTCTGAAATTGAGGTAATTGTTCTTTTTCGATTTTTGTTCGTGTCTTGTTTTAGTGGAAGGAAGTAGTGTTATAAAATTCCGCACTATGGGAGGGAATAAATTAAAATAAACGTACCAGCCATTGCAATTGCATTCATAATCATCCCCTTTATCATGAACGGACGTCCATTCATTCATTCGCTGAATAGACGTAATATTATACATTTTGACGGCAAAAACTCCCTTAAATAGTTCGATTTTATGTTGGTTGGTTTTCGTCAAAATTGAATGAACTCATTGTCTGTTTCGTTGTCGACGGTTGTCGTTCAAATGATGAATACCTAGATAACTAATTCAACCTAGTTATTTATAAATATAGTCAAGTGCATGTCAAGCTTCTCGAGAGATCAAGTCTCAGGATCTTTCTTATCGCTACGAGCATAGAGTTAAATTTAATACGCTTGACCCGGTGTAGTTTGTTTCTATTATGATTGGAAAGTTTGTAATTAAGTTTTATTAAATGTCAAGATGTTTCACCATCATGATAGTCAATTATTTTATTGTGAAATCCACTAGTTTGTTATAATTATTAAACAAAGATCGCACACTTAGAAAAAAATCACTTCGATCTGGCTGGATATGAACCAACGTCTCCTAGCAAACCGTACCAAACGCTATGCGAACTTAGTTACGAAACGAACCAACGGACCTCACGAAATTTTCCATGTGCTTGTTGCAGATCTTTGTTTTTTGATTTTTAACGACTTTTTCCCGTAGCGCCATGTGTGATAAATCTATGAAAGATTGCTTGGAAAGTTTGTTTGTAGCGATTTGCAGACAGATATAATCAGATTTCGAAAATCATGGCAAGTGCCGGACTCGCCCATCAGGTGGAGAGATGGAGAGTCACGTACACAATCCACACCGCACGTTCCCGCTCTGTGTAATAGTCAAATTTTCATAATGTAGCTCAGGAATTACAAAGCAAAAACAGGAATTTACTTGAAAAAAATGAGCTATAATTTAATATAAAAACTAGAGCACACACTAAGCACTTCACCTAACGATACCTTTGGTATATGGGGAGGTGATGTACTCTGATGGCATCCAGCATCCATAATACAAGTATTCCATATCCACATGTTACATCATCAACACATCAAAAGTGTTTTTATCACATGAAAGTCATAAATAAGTTATGTGAAATTTTATAACACGAATTATTTCCTATTTAAGCATAAAAATAGATTTTTTTAAATTACCAAGTAACGGGACGAACGAGTCGTGCGCTTGTTGGTAAGCTACAAGCATGTCCATAACAGTTCCAGTGTCACTCAGAGCTTTGAACCGCAAAGATCTGAGGGGCACTGCCACTGCGCCCGCCACCATGAGACAAAAGCTGACAAGTCCACCGGAACACAGTAATGCAGATATTACTGCTTGGTGGCAGAAATAGGTAAGGTGACAGTACTTCCCTGGACGAACTCTTTCACAAGGAGCTCTTATTGCTGCTTAAATTAATTAGAATCTTTATATCTCTTTCCTGAAAAGGTATCACTTTGCAAATACATCACCTTATGAGAGCGAAATAGGTAAAGTATATTCACCATTCGCATACCAGCTTCAACAGACGCACAAGTCGAAAATCATCTTTTTGGGTTTTTTGTTGCACATAAAAAAATAAAATGACATCACTGTACGGTAATTCACGTAAAACAAAATAAGTTAATATACAACAGACAGTTATACTGCTAAGTACCAATTTGTTCTAGACAACCTTAGGGCGCAAGATGTAATATTGAATACTAATAATGTTCACATATAGAATAGTATCTAATATTTACTTATATATTTAAAAAAAGCGATACATATATGAATAGAGGAAAATAAGAAAATAGATGTAGGCACTCGAGACAAAAGGTGAAAGTTATGAGTAACGGAAGGTTCAAACGTCATTTATAGGAATCAAGAGAAGGGCATCGTGAAATAGGTTCAGGGAGGGAATTCCAAGGGGAATTTCGTTACGTGCAGAAACTTCCCTGGTCTTTGGTAAAATATTGGAAAAAAATATACTCAGTCTGAAGTTAGCTAATATCACTTTTGACGACTGCTCGGTAAGGTCTTTATTCGAAAAAAATAACAATATATATCTCATTTTAACTTGCCAACCTTGTCATTTTTCATTTGTGTCAGTATTAGCGATGTAGTCCCATTGTACATTGGGTATTTGTTATAACAGAAAATAGGCTTTTTTATCAGAACATGCTGCGATGTTAAATATTTGATAATACTGTTATTACCTGTATCAGCCGTGACGCGAGCGCGCGTGTGTAAGATGGCATTAGATTTCCGTGTGTAATTTCGTACTCTGATGCTCATTATTATGACATGATAGATTTGAAGGTTTTTGATGGCTTTTTAATGGTAATTTAAAGGCTATTTAATGGTATAGTGTAACTAGCTGGCGTTCGCAATTCGATGTCTGAACTCTTCTCGTCTCGCCTATTTTGCGTGTAGAAACTATTTAATATCAGTGTTGATTATTTTTTCTAGGTTCAATACTCAATACTGTATTGCCTTTCCAAAAAATGTTAACACAGGGAGTTTAATTGGGGCTAAGCTGGTGGTTTTTGAAGTCGGGAGAAAATGTTTTACAGCTTTAAAAACTTCACCTTCTAAGACCCGGCAAGCTACAATGGGAAAAGCGAGTATGCCCTCAGTTTCGTATGAAATAGTACATTATTGCAGAGGCCAGGAAGTAAGGGATTGCTGGACGAGTATGAGTTACAAGGACGAGCGCCAACGAGGCATTGTATTAATACGAGTCAAGCAATCCCCGTTCCCGACGAGGCATGTAGTATTTTTTTCAAACAACGCGAGCAAATAATAAAAGACTAAAGAGAGAAAGATGTATAATAGAAAAAGTAAAAAAAAAATCAATTAAAGTAACATTTGACGTGATAGGACAATTGCTAAAAGAAAATATTATTGTTTTTCTAGGCATATTAAATAGTAGTCTGCTGAACTTTTGATGATGTGTTTGATTGTGTATCTATTACAATATTTTCGTTATCGCTTTTCTCACGAGCATTCACTTTCGCGACTAAAATACAAAAGAGGAGAAAAAAAATAAAAGAATACCAAAACACTTTAGTTTAAATGTTACCGCCATTTTCTATTTATTTTTTTAAGTAAGCGGTACAAATAGGTATTTTGAATTCTCGCAACTGGGCTGTTGGCTGTACATGTAATTTTTCTTTTGGCTGTTTACATAGTTCATTATTAGTAGGTAGATTTAAAAGTTTAGAAACGGGACGGGAAGAGGACATAGGGCGCGTTCAAATTTGCGGTCGCCGCGTGGCTGCAGCGCTGCGGCATGGCAGCGAGTCTAACAGCGGTTAGTTTGAACGCGCCCTAATGGACTTTCATACTTACTTTGTAGGTTTTGGTCGGGAAGAAGACGTACGATCTATAAATGACAAACTTTCCGTGTCCGCTTTTTGAAAGTAATGCAAATATTTTCGAGAATATTTGAGAAAAATGCATTCTTTTTCTATTTACCCTATGCTGCCGGCGCTAGTTGAAAGGGCTCATGTGACAGTAAAAAAAGGTGATGTTTATGCTGTGATCAGTAAAGAAAGGCCGATCTGCATCCGATCTGTCACTATTTTTCCGTAGTGGATAAGGTATGAACTTAACGCAAGAGAAAAGACAATTTCTTTAAACATAACATTTCTCGGTTTTGAGTTTTTGTCACAAGTTTCAACTAACGGGGGCAGTATGATCATACGGAATAGGTATAAAGAGCTAAATTTGAATGCGATATTTTCGTTATAAGGTACCTGCACTTAGTGTTTACGTGATTGATCATAGGAATAAATCACTTCACATATTATGAATACATTTTAAAGTGCATGGGGCCCTAGGAGGTTCAGCATAAAGTTGGTGTTTTTGTGAATTTTGTAGCCCGTATAATTTTGACAACTGTCTACTAGATTTTTTCTACATCGTATCTACAACTCATTGAGTTTTCCTATCAATACTTACTGAAACGTGGCTACTTGTGTAGTTTTCTTCAGTGTGTCGTGCTTACCTAAATCTTTCCGTCCCGCCCGATTGTGCTTCGAAAAAGTTCCTGATTTGTTAAAGGTCAAAGATTTCTTTTCTGTAGGTACTTACTTGAATGA